TGAGTGTGTTGTGTCCGTAGTAGGACGGTTCTCTGAGTTGCTTTTACACGCTGCTCAGGGACGGGGGGTGTGTGTTGCAATCTACTGAAAGGGACCTAGTTAAGGCTAACTCAGTGGAGGTCCTTATATAAATCACCACATGTTCTTCTCGTCCTCCAGTAAAATGTACACATTCCTTTGTTTTGTTTGGACACTGAATGGCAACAAATATGTCTGGGCTGTTTTCTTTGTCTAAAGCAAAAATTCTAATTTCCTTAGAACAGACCTCTTAGATACTTAGTGTTTTTTAAAAGTACACTATGCAAACAGACGGGTTTTGAGAAACTCAAAGCATGCAGTCATATTTTCTTGACCTGCAGTAGAAGATACACGGTGTATGCAGCAGTGATGACGTATGTGGTCTTTCTAACCCTGCTATTTTTGTCATAGGTTTAAGGGTTTGGGATTTTTTTAAATTGCATTCAACACATGTCTTTTGACAAATTTAAAATAAAGGTAAATAATAAGACCCTTATTGTGGAATGCAACTAATTTGCCCCATAGTTGATGCTGTACATCATGTCTAAATGGCTCTTAAATATGAATTTTCTCACCTGGTATGATGCAGGGAATTTTCTTTTCTTTTTTTCCACCACAAGTTTAGTTTGTATGGCGCTTAAGAATGAAGAAATATTGGAAACAGCATTGCCAATCCGGTTACTTACTTGGGAAATGCATGAGTTCACCTGGGACGTTTCCATGACACAGTTTGACGTTGCAGGCGTGATAAAAAAAAAAAACATTCATAATTTTAAAGTAAAAAAGGGGGTGTACAGCTCCTTAGATGAGGTAGGCTCTGTATTGACCGTCTGAAGGTGAATGACCGTTGACTCAGAGGTTGTGTACCGTTCTTGTAACCTCTAGACAGCAACGTCCTTGGTTTTTGAGGAGTTATAGTGAGTCAGAGGATAACATTTATATAAAACAACAATGTTGTACCAGCAGCTTCACCCATACACCAGGCTGTTAATGTCCCAGCATCACCTGTGGGTGTGGTTAGAGGGTCTATGTCTTGCGTAATGTTCTGAAGGACATTAACATCTTCCCAAGAAAGGACAGGGACATCTACTCTATTCAGCACATACTTAAGACATGCCTTCTCTTTTAATTTACTCGTGTTTTTTCTCTTCTTTTTTTCAATTAGCTGTGAGGAAGTACTGTGTTATCGTTGTTGGCATAAACTGAGTTTTTCTCTTCTTTCTTTCAATTAGCTGTGAGGAGCTGTGTTATCGTTGTTGGCATAAACTGACTGGTTCATACGTGAATGAAGTGCAGCGGTGGGAGGAGAGTGAAAACCTTAGTCACGCCCCCTCCTCGTGTTTATAACCATGTAACCAACCGAGGTTGCAAGACTCACTAACGACCTCTTGTCAAACAAAAAACAAACGTGTACTAGGGCACAGTGTCCTGGTGAAGAGCACTTTTTTGTAGAGTTTTGGAGTTTTGTTTGTTTGTTGGAGAAACTCAACCATGCGCTGCAGAGTGAGCTACAGTCTGCCCTGCTCCCCAGGGACATCACCTGCATACTCGGGACGGTTAATGCCCTACAGATCCAGATGTGCCAGGTAAAATGACAAACATGGAGTCGATCGTTTGTTTACTTAGGTTTGTTTGTTATTACTGTGCGCGCAAATGCGTCTGTCAACCTGTAGCTGTAGTTTTTGTAGCATGTGGTTTTGTTTTTCTTTCTCTCCGCTGTTATAATGCACAAGTAAACTAAAAGTCTTAAAAGTTCGGTGATCTGTCCTCCTCTATCGGCATACCTCATGCATTCGTTTGGACACTGAATGTTTTTTTGTTATATACAGTAAATACACTGTAGTAGACAGGACGATACCGAGACAGTGACCAGGGTGCCTTTTGGTCTGCAGGACATTTTCTTCTGTCTCTCCTGTCCTGCCTCAGGTTCAGACACGCCAGTGTGTGTCCCCCTCTCCAGGTATTTGGTCTGTCCTTAGAGTCCGTGTCCCTTGGGGCAGTCCTCGCGGCTGGTCTGCAGGATACGTGCGCTCCTGCATGATCGCTGTATGTTAACGTGCTCCACATGGGTCCGCAGTGGTGATGGACGGCGTCCACCATCCGATAGTGACTAATGACTGTGACCCACAATACCGTATAAATAACTGTCCAGGACGATTTATTTAAAATTTAATTCAAGTTATTGAATTAGTTTCTAATTTTTGGACTGCATTTATTTGTTGTTTTTTTTTACTCCGTTGCGGGTAAAGACGCTGAGTGTGTTTTTGTTTGTTGGTTTTGTTTTTTGTTTTTTTTTGACTGTTTAAAGTCACTCTATTATTACTCTCTTAGTCCATGCAATTCAGCACTGGTTTAAGTGTTGTGAAGAGTGCTCCACATGAGCAGGACATCATGTCCTCTCTCTCTGGTCAGGGCTCCTTCTAGCGGTGCAGTGCCGCCTGTGTGATTTATGGGTTTTTTGTTCCCTTGTCCACGTCGAGCGGATCGGCGATCGTACCCAGATCGCGTTAACGGAGAATTACTTGTATTTCCCGGACTAACAATATATTTTGATGTTTTTTTTCGTCGTGTGTTAACATCTAGTAACAGCAAACCACTGGTATAAAAGGGATCGAAGCCTGGAGTGGAGTAAGTGTTTTGAAGTGGGATGTTTTTTTTCCATCTCTTTCGTTCTTTCTGTGGAGGGAAAAAAATGGACGGAGAACAAAACAACAATGTTGCGCAGCTCTGAAGTGGTTTTCTTCTTCTTTTAAGCAGCCTGTGTACTGTTGCTGTGACTGTGTACGTTTTCTAGACGATTACGTTTTAGCTGCTAACGTAAACAAACGAACCGCGCCCGCAGCGCAGCTCGGTCAGTGCAGTCAATGTAGTGAGATCGGAAAACGTTCGGAAAGAGTTTCTCGTATTGGATTTTTTTTAGGATTTGCTGTAGTTTTTAAAATAGTTTCTCGTATTGGATTTTTTTTTTTAGGATTTGCTGTAGTTTTTTATTTGTTTAAAACCGTTTAAAACACAACTTAAAAACACTTTTTCGTAAATTGTTGCAAACACAACGGACAGTGACTTGGACAGTTCTTTTGGATAAGTGTAGTCCTTTTTCCAGTTTGCCATTTATTTGATGTTATGTGATGTTATGACATGACGTGTTAATGTTCGCTCAGAATAATACATTTATCTGGATATTTTCCATGTTTCAACTCAAAAGTGGGTCATGGGGCCACATTTAGAGGGAGGTTTTTTTCAGTCTGAAAGTCAACTTTTTCTGACTGTTATCTGTTTGGACTGAAGCACCTCCAACAAGAACCAGCCCACACACAAGGGCAGTTTATTTAATAGTACATTTGAAGATTTCTATTCTCTTCTCCCAGCTAGTCACAGCTAAAACAAAAACGATGCTATGCCACATAAAACATATTTTGATCAATAAGAAATGCCAAGCAAATGACACTGTATTAATTATGTAAGTTGAGAGATCAGAACATTCAGTGTGATTGTGTCAGTACCTGCATCATTCACCGTACAATAGAACCCAAGTAGAAAGTATTATATAAGACACAGATTGTAATTGTGGCATTCGCAACAGGACTGTAGTTTTTATCAGGGTGGAAAAAAGTTGTATTGAATTCCATGTTGATATAATTATATGAAAGGATTTTTATTTTGCCTTTCAAAATATTGGAACAACACTAATAAACATTATGATGTAATTGTTGGAAAAACACACATGACAGTGAACTGATATTTGTAGAGGATTTAGAGGATTAAGTCACTGTGTTTGTCAAGTTGATTTTAGTCTTGTGTGGGTGTAAAAGTGTTGCCCTACTATCAGTGTTTAGCTCTGGGCCTGTTTCCAAAAATGTAATCAATCACAATTGTATTTTTTTTTCTTTTTTTTAATCCAAGAGTTGTTGAGAAATCTCCTTGGCAGTAGAGTTGGCTCTCAGTGAATCTGGAAAATACTGATAATTATCTACACTAAGATGTGGAAAAATGAGATTACCATCTTTTGTTAACATTTTTTTCTTTTATCTCCACAGTGCTTCCGGTGCCAGTGTTGTAGCCATCGATAACAAGATTGAGCAGGCAATGGTGAGTTTTCCACAGATGAAACAAGTTGTAACCAACTCTTACAGCTGACTCACATTCTCTGCAAGCCTGTAAAATCATGTTGTTGCACAATAATACTTCTGACGCTAGCGTTGACTGACACAATTGTCTAACTGCCCGAGCAGCCAGAGACACTGACAGCTCACGTCAGTAAAATGCAGTTGTGCTGCCGGATTTGCTTCTGACGTTGTTGTAAAAAGATGACATTTATCTCCTTCTTTTGTTGGAGGGATTTGCGTAAGTGCTTTATTTTTAGCAGATTTTAGTTTCTCATTTTACGTCTGTCCTCCCTCAGGACCTGGTGAAGAGCCACCTGATGTATGCCGTTCGTGAGGAGGTGGAGGTTTTGAAGGAGCAGATTAAAGAGCTGTACGAGAGGAACTCTGTACTGGAGCGAGAAAACGCTGTCCTGAAGTCACTGGCCAACTCGGAGCAGCTCAACCAGCTCTCCGGTCAGCTCAGTCAGGGTGGCAGCCAGTTGACGACGCTTCAGCAGCAGCACCAGCACATTACAAACAACAACAACAACAACAGCCCCCTAATTCACCACGACGAGGCTCAGAGCGTCCCCCACCAGCCCAACGTCACCTCGGCGTGACCCACTTTACTCCTGTACACGCTTTAAAACACACCTCCCACAGACAGGAGTAAAGCAATCCTGTCAGAGAAAGACAACATCTTTGACCGTCTCGTGAGCTTCAAGGAAAAAAAAAAAGCGGCTCGGCTCTACAGTCATCGTATTCCATTGTAGGTCAGAAGTGGACAAAACCAATGTTGTCGCCGAGGGCCACGCTTCAATGTTTGCACACTGAAATCACTGGGCCTCGGTTCTTTCTAGGGCAGTTACCACCTGTTGAAAGGTCCAGTGTGTGGTGGCCAGGAAGCTGGAAACAGAATAATCAAAGGTTGTAGGGGAGTTGGTCCATACCATTAAAAAACAAAAAAAGAAACTGCATGCTGTTATGGTGCAGGAGACAGTTGGGCTGCTCTCCCACAGTCTGTTCTCCGCACTCAGAGGCTGGAGGTCAGAGAAGCGAGGGAGCAGCAAGGGAACACACTGGCTCTCCCCTTAGTTGACAAAAAGGAGGAGGAGGAAAAGGTGGAGGACGAGGAGGGCGCCAGGAGGCACCTCGGCTCACGCAGAGCAAGTCGGGAACCTCCGCTTGTTAAAAATGCTGCAGCATAATAAAGCTTGTGTTGTTTTCTCAGAGCCACCATACTTGTCATGAATCATAACTTTTTAGTTAGTTTCAGTTTTAGTATCTGCATTTATTTATTTCAGGGCTGCTATTATTTTTTTTTTCATAATGTAAATGAACAATGTCATTGAGACAAAAAAAAAAACAACCTACAAGAAACAAACCTTTTGGTCATTTTGGTAGTTTAGACTCTGTCAGGTATTATATTTGGCTCTCGCAAACAAGTAGGTCTCAACAAGTAGGCAATAATGTAAATGTTTATTTTTTTTTCTTGTCATGAGATGTTGCTAACACTACGGCTGAGCTTGCATTATTATAGGTGAGATCCAGTTTGAATGTATATTTTGTAAAAGTGTAAAGTATTAAGTATGAGCAGGGGATTTGTACAGGTGAACACCAGTTGAGATATAAAAATCTGTGATGGGATGTTTCGATATAGAAACGAATAATTTACCTTTTCTACAGACTGTCTTTGTCAAAGTAAAAATAAAGTTTAAAAAAAAGACAAATGAATTTGTGGGTGTGGTCGAGGGGATGAAAAGCTGTGAAAATTGTTCCAATCTACTTTAAAAAAAAACAAAAAACCAAAGACGCAAAGCTGTGTATGTTTTTTTTTCTCTTTTCCCCTCTGTTGATTTTAAAATGCACATTTTGTATTATTTCTCCTTTCCTTACCCCCTCTCTCTGTTTTTTTCTGTTCATTCTTTTTTTGCAGTTTTGCATGTTGTGCATGATCTATAATCAGACCACTTTCTTACCTCATGTTTTTATCCAGCACTCTTTATTTTCTGTCATGTCAGTCTGTGAATGATTGAGAGAAAGGATTGGTGTAAGAGAGGGAGAGAGAGAGAGAACAGTGGGACAGAAGGAAGTGAAAGTGGTTGAGGGTTATTATAATAATAATAATAAATAATAATAATAGTTTGTTTTCACATGCACAGACAAAGGTTTTTGTTACATAGCAAATTTAAATGTATTTAAAAAGAATAAATGCAGCATTTAGATTTTTTTCTATCCAGTCTACAACAACTCGCTTGCAATAGCCGACAATAAACACACAAAAAAAGGAAACTAGTGAACATTTTCACACCTTAACGCTGGAAAACAGTTGATTGTGTATGAGCATATTATGGGATGTCCTGTCTACGTCACGTCTTTGTGCCTCTTCTGCCGCCGTCCTGCTGCAGTCAGGCGGTTCGGTTTTTTTTCTCTCTGTGGCTTAGAACCAAACCAAAATGCTTGGAAGTGTACAATCAGACATCTTTGGAAACGATGGACTCTTTAGATCTCCCTTATTTGGAAAATGGGCTTTTTTTCCCCTTTCCATATTTTTTTTTTTCATTTTTGTCCTGAAGGAGATGCTGTGTACATGCCAAGTGTACTGTATGAAAGTGATCACTGAGCCTTGGAGAAAATATCTTAATGATGCCCTTGTAATGTGCTGTTCAGACAATTTTAGTTTTCAGTCAGAAATAAATTACTGTTTTATTATGAACCCGTCTTCATGTGTGTGTTTTCTTTCATTTTTCCTCATTTGCTGCGTCATGGAAAACATTTATCAGATTACAGACGATCCACTTGTTAAAACATTTTGGGCAAAAAAAAATTTTATATTTCCACCATTTTACACAAATATATTAAAGATTAATACACAATTTTACTTAACTACTTAATAGCAGCGTATCTGAGCTTTAAACTACAGGTTTAAAATAATGGAATGGAAAAATAATTAGAACTTTACTATTTTTGACCTCAAGGTTTTATTGGTAGCTAGAAGAACTGAGAAGGTAATTTAAGTCTCTTAGATAAAACTAATTATTCAGAAATGCTTTGTATGGAACTCTTATTCAGCTTCAGGATATAGGATGATGAAAAACCCTTAGAATTCCCTCCTGAGAAGAAAATCTCATTTTCAACAAACACTTCTAGAAGTTGAGGACAAAAGGTCAAGAGTCCTTTCAAATCTCTCGTTGAGCAGGAAGCTTGTTTAGATGCATAACATACCAACAGAAGTGACGCCGGTGTCCCACCTGATCATATGCCGCCGCAAGCTGTGATGTAACACTCCTGTTCCAGTTAGCAAAGCCTCCAGGTCACATAAGTGTGACCAACTGTTCACACTCTCCTTCACACCTACAGGAAACGAAGCCACGAGTTTCTTGTGGGGAACAAAGTTGACACGAGAAACATGTTAGCTCGTCTGGACAGAGGAGTATTTATCCACTTCCTCACCACTTTAACAGACACTGCTGGTCGGAACTGAATTATTTCCCTAGTCATAGTCTGCCCTGATTATGTGGTTGTTATGTAAGAACACGATCATCAGTGTTTTTTAGGGACCTGTAGAAGAAGTCATGTGTCACCCGTCCTCTCATACCTGTCACTTTTCACATGAATCAGTGATCGTCCATAAAGAGCATGAGTTGACAATCGCATTCAATCTCTAATAAGTCGAATATTTTTCTATAACATTTCAAATGCTGTTAACAGGCTGCCCCTAGCAAGCGCCAAGCATGTGGTTCCTCTTGGAATCGAACCTCACCCTTGAGAAGAAAGAATTGACGATGTTAGCAAGCAAGATTATTTGAAGTATATCAGTATTTTATTTTCTCCAACAATAAACTAAAAATTTTAACCACGTAACCTGCTTAAAAAAAGTTCTGGAACATGTTTGGATCTAGTTCCATCCATCTGAGTGAACTTTGGAGAGGAACTCTATTTCAGTGACTCACTGATATTTGCAGTGTTGAGACCTAAATGAAGTAGACGTTCATTACTTCCATTGAAGAGCTTTTTTTGTTTCATTTTGTTTTGGGATTCATTTAACATTTCTGCAGATGATCTTCCACAAATCATTCCTTTAAACTGTTTCTTGTCTTCTCTTCTTGCAGGTGCCGACCGACTCAGCTGTTGAGCTCGGCCGGAGGAACGCACTTGCATTCTTACATCTGATATCAAACTGTGAATTCACTGCTTGTTTTACAAACAAACAGACATCGGGGGACCTTCTCTGAGAGGGAAGTAAAAACACAACAGTATACCAAAAAAAAATCACATTTATAACAGTATGAACTGCTCCTAGTGTATGATTGTTACATAATAATATCACAAGACTCCATTCATTCCATGTTTTTATCCAATTGGAATAAATCAGCCTGTTTTCAGAGAAGGTCCGTTTGATTCTGGTGAAGTTTAAAGTGACTCATCCCTGTTTCCATCCCCATGACATGTTGATATTCCTTTGGTTTCAGGTAACCTAAGGTCAAAAACAGGAAAATTAGGTTACAGAGACTTATTTAGACTTTCTCTGTGATTGCTGTGGTCTTGTTTGCAGGTGCCCTACATGTGGATCCAATTTCTCTTCTATGGAATTTGACTAAGTTAGACCTAATTGGATGAAGAGCATCATTTGGTTCATTTGGTTCCACAGAAATGTCTAGATAACCACTCCTATTTTCAGCTTTCAGAGTATTTGGTTCGGACTTTCTTTCTGTTTGTCCAGAATTAAATCAACTTGTTTTTTCCAAAACAATTCCAACTTTTTTTTCTTTGGAATATTCAACAGGGTTCACTCCCACAGTTTTGGAGATGGAATAGATAGATAGGACTTTCTTCGAGCTTCAGTGACTCACAAAATCAAATTTACTAAGACGAAGTCTTCCGGGGACATTTCATTGCATGTCATATGTTCCTTGGAAGATCTTTGCCATCACCTCACACTTCACAGGTTGTGTGCTCATGCCAAAGGTGGAAACATCTGTGACTCACCAAACAGAACAGAGTTATGAGAAGGAGGTGTGCATCACACGTCACTGTGAGTCAGTACCGTTCGGTACATGTTTAAAAAAAACAAAAAACGAATGACAGATAATACGTGAAATCAACATCTGCCTTCCTTATCGTTCATCATCAACCTGTGTGGACAAGCCGTGGCTGCACGACATAAACAGAGCATGTGTTACGTGTGTTGTGTACGTGTTAGCAACGGTGCTTACTTGGAATTGGAAATTAAAACGATGGGAAGATTTTCAAGGGCTGTGTTTGTACTTGTTTATTTATCTTTTTTAAACACACTGTGGTTGTTAGGACCTAAATATACCAAACTACTCCAGGTACTGAACCTAGATCAGTCTGGTGGCAGTGTCCAGCCACTTTTCCAGATCCCCCAGAATGGCAGATTCAAATTCCCTGTACAGAATATGTACACTGACAGAAACCCCCTCCTCTATCCTAGTCTGATCTTGTTTTATTGCCCTCCCCAACCCCTTTTACTTCGAGTGGGCAGTGAATCAGCCGATTAAGCAGCCGTGTTCTGACCAGAGGCATGAGTTGAGCGAATCCAGACTCCACAGAATTTGGGATAAAACGTTTTTAAATCAAATTTTAATTGCAACAGATGTAATTAAAATACATTTGCTGCTCCTTTCAAGGGTTTAATCCTGTGGACGAAGAAAATTATTGTTTTTTTTATTGCCCCAGAACATATCCATAGGGGTAGGTTTTTCAATGCAGGCTGGTAATTTAGAAGACAATGTTTTACATTAGTCCTCTGTAGATAAACTAAACATGTTTGCTGTGTTAATGGTCTCTGAAGAGTACACAGTGTCTTTTAAGCATGGACAGGAATAATACATTTAATAATAATAATAAAAAGAAATAAAAAGTTCAGCTCTGTGCATTGATTTCATTGTTAAAAAAAGAATGTGTGCATATTTCTGCATGTCTCAGGAACAGGGTCATATTTCCTCTGTGAAATGCCAGCTTGTCAGAGTTGTGCAAACTGGACTCATAAGTTACACAGTTTAAACGAATCTCCAGTGTCATGTAATGCCAGCACACACACACGCGGGAAGGAAGTCTTATGTAAGAGCGGTGTTGATGTTCGACAGTAACAGTCCAGACTAAGTGTAAATGCATTTGTGTCTATTATGAAAGAAAATCTAGTCATCGACCAACAGCCCCAACCATTACAGAGCATCATTCTGTTAGTCAACCTCCCTGACACTAAGAAATGGTCAAAGAACATAGAGCATAGATAAAGACACACATTAAGGCTCTGGCGCCCTCATGTGGTCATGTAATGGACCCTTCTGTGACTTTAAGAGTCAGAAGTGAAGTTCCAGCGAGATTAGCACAATATTTACATTAGTTAGTTTTTTCTTTACTTAAAAAACAATAAAATACTCAAGTACTTACAAAAGGTAAACGGAAAACTTGAGTTGTTTTTACATTGTACCATTGTGTACAAAATTCGTTTTAATGACATTCAAAATTTTATAAAGAAATGAAGGGGTGTTTTAAAATGACTTGTGATTAAATACTGGACCACTGAACGTTTTCCATGAGGAAATTAATTAAATGTTCTAAAATATTTAGCGGGAGATTTAGCAACTTCCAAATTGTACACGTACAAACAAAAGTTTTTTGTTATTCAACAGTAGAGGGCAGCATTGCTCAATGGTTGCAGTGTTGTCACGTTTCTACGTTCCTAAACCGCTTTCTTACCATCAAACTCATGGCCTAAATTATTAAAGTATGTTTAATGTTTATTAGTTTATTTACTGAAGTTATTGAATTCCAAAAAAAAAAACAAAAAACAAAAACACCGTATTTGTGGATTAAGAGCAACCAGGGGTGTGTCATGTCCTCCCCGCCCACAAGCCGATGATGAGCGCTAGTCATGCGGCCTCCACTGTTTTGATTCACACAACAGTTTCAATAGGCAGGGCAAACATGGCGGAGGTCTGTGTGACTCCTGTCACAGCAGCCCTGCTACGGCAGTGAGATCTCATCGCTTTAAGTCGAGCTTTATTAAAACTGGCAAAGGTGCGTAGAGCCTCGTTCCTCCAGGAGGACATGGAGGTGTCGGCGGAGGGAGAAGCGGAGGAGCGCCGGTAAGTGACAGCCGCCTCGCCCGGTGTAGCCGTGCTAATAGTCGCAGTGAACTTGAATAGTCACACAGAAGCAACGATCGGCGTTACACGGAGATGTGATAACACGGTTAATAAAAAAGAGTAAATTGGCATAAATAATAGCAGCTTCCTCTAAAAAAGCTTGTGTAAAAAGTCGGATTAGTGCCAACACTAGCTACACTGTAGCCACAATGCTAAGCTAACTCTACATTTCAGATTTTGCAGTATTAAAGTGACATCAGCGGCTCCAGCGTGTCGTGTTACACGAACTAGTTGTTTGAATAAGCAATGTTTTACTGTGCTCCTAGTAAAAGTTATGTTAACAGTTGAGTTCCCTCTAGGCTATGCTAACAGCTAACTGTCAAACTGACAAAGTGAGCCTGGGTGTGTAGAGCAAAAGACTTCACCTTTATGACATATAATCGGAAACTATTCTCAAGTTCACATAATGACACCTTTGTGCTAAATGCTGTCTGGGTTTATGTGACGTGAAACAAAGAACATTTTTCGGATTGAATACAAGTTGAAAAGTAGCTTTACATGTTATTCAACATAGATATTCTCTACCAGAAACCGTCGTTTTACTTACAAACCTAATTTCCAGAAAAGTCAAAATTTGGTTCAGCAATAGTTTTTTAAGCTCTCCATATAAGGCGCTAACACGAGAAACAAGTTATTAATCCTATCTTGTACCTTGTTGTGCTAACCCGATAAACTAGTGCTTTGCATGTAGATTTTCCAAGTGTTAACTTAACTCCACCCTTATCTCAACTTCTAACCTTATCCTTAGAAATAACGTTTTTTCCTGTCAAGGATCAGGTTTTGGTCTTAAAACTTTGTGTTTTTAACGGGCTTAACATTTAATCTTTAACCTCAACAACCTCTGAGAACCGTGTGGAATTTATCTCCTCGGTGTTCATCGCACACACACACACAAGCACAGACAATTTCTGTCTAAATATATCATGCTCAAATATGTGGATGAGAATGTTCTTAGCCTCCATCACTTTGCTATGCTACATGATTGTGCTCAGCTGGCAGCTGAACCCGTGATGCTGCCGCCTCAGAAAAGGCCCACGGTGTTTATAATTCTGCTGCTTACACTCATGGAGCTGCTCACTGTGTTTCATTACTCTCCTAAAGTCATGTGCCCTACAGGCTTATATAACTTTTACTCACACTTTTTAAGTTGCTGTTGCTATAGTTACACTACTTGTTTTTAATCAGGGCAGCTCTCAGTTTGACAACAATGTAGTTGAAGATGCATTCAGAGTGAAATGAATTTTTTCCCATTTTGAAGCGTCAGTAATGATTCATTCCACTTTACTGCCGACAGCAGCACTTTTTTCCACCTCCTTCCTCATTCCTAACCTTGCGAAATCCTCCCTGTTGCAGGAAGGAGCACTGGAAGCTGCTGTCCAGTCTGAAGACCACTGTTGAGGGTCTCGTGTCCACCAACAACCCTAATGTGTGGTCACGCTACGGCGGTCTGCAGCGTCTCCACAAGGACATGAACAACATTCTCAGCCACGGGCTGAAGAACGAGCAGGTCAGGAGGGGGGCGGCCTGCAACACTCTCCCTTTTTCTAATGATTGTTTATTGACAATGTAAATAAAGGAGAGATTACACGCCACCGACACTGACGTCTCTGGTTAGCTTTGATGTGACTCAGAGGTCAAAGATAGACTTTGTGGGCAGCTGCCCACAGAAACAATGTTTTGGGACTGAACTTTTTGTTAACAATTTTGTTTTTTTTCGGTTGTCTCTCGGTACACTACTGATATTATAATACCGGGGATATCACTGTATACACCGTGTTGTATTTGCGTGGCAGCTGCTTTTCTCTTCATGTGGCTCGTGTGAACACCTGGTTTTGTGTTACCAGGTGTACTACAAGCAGAGAGACTACTGGCCGTTCGTGTGGTGCGTCCGCTACATCAGCCCTCAGCTCGCCTCGCATGTAGAACAGGTAAGAATATTGTCAGCCACAGGCAGAGTGGACTCTATAAATACACTGAGATCACATTAATGTGGAACAACATAAAGGATTGTTGTGTCTGTTGTGTTATGTTTATTTCTCTTGTGGCTGGAATGGTTTTGTTTTGTCTTTTTGAGGACTGAGGACGACTCTTAACGTCCACTGTAGAAATCAGGGCGAGCTCCGGGGTTTGGTCAAAAACAGGAAAAATAAATAGAAACATGAAAGTTGTCCCAGTTTGACTACAGTTTTATTACAGACACATGGATGTGCAGGATTAGGCGTTGTTTACAAAACAAAAAGTATTTTCATCAGCACTTACCGACATCGGACCGTTTCACATCTTCATCGAGTTAGACAACCACACCACCAAAGCAGAAGTAACAACAACCCACCTACAGGAAGTGATCGTTACCCGAAATAACGTCAACCCACCTAAAGTGATCATTACCCGAAATAACGTCAACCCACCTACAGGAAGTGATCATTACCCCCGCTTTTATGTCCTCTGTTTGTCTACACTGTTTTATGTCGTAGTACAACTCTAATTACCCCATGGTGTTGTCTTTTCTTTGTCCAACAGAACCTCTACATCTCATTGACATGTGACACAATCATGCCACTAATACACCTTTTCTTTTACATTTACCTATAGTCCCTGTGTTATTGATATTTGTCAATGAGTGAAAAAACATTTTAAAATCACCTTGGTTAAGAGATTAAGATCTGGTTTGTTGTCCTAAATGTCCTAAAAATAATTCATCCTATCTGTCGATCTCTTTTTTTTACTTCAGTTCAGTCATTTGGAGCCCGTACTGAGCAGTGGGATGCAGAGCGCAGGTGAAAGCTTCAAGGCCGAGCGCTGGCTCCTCCACAGTTTACAGGATCACATACTGTCGGCTCAACTCCGACCTCTGCTCAGGCATCTGTCACACACACAAAAATACTATAATGGTGAGTTTCTGCTCATTTTCATTCAAATGAATCTATAATAAAACCATTTTTAATTCAGTTTTGTTTTTGTTTTTTTTCCCCAGATGATGCTTTCCTGCTGCGTGAGCCTCATGTCACCGCCATGTTTCAGTGTCTGGAAGCCGTGGAGCAGAACAACCCCAAATTGCTGGCCCAGGTGGACACTGTCGGGGTAGGTCTGGAGACGGGCGTTCTCATCTCAATCTATGCCAAAAAGTGCTGATATAAAACATGTTAACATGATGAGAGAGGCTCAGGTTATGATCATTAATGATTACTTTTTCTTTGTCACACCTTCCAGCTGTCTCCATTGAAGAGTCCACTGAACCTGGGTCTACTGAAGAGTCAGAGCCTGTGTGTGTTACCAAGTTGTGGGCACAGTGACTCAACTCTTAAGCGCAGACTCACAACATCCAACTGTTCTTTGCTGGAGTCAGTTTCATCCAGCAACACGTCTTTGGGAAACGCCTCTGGAGTCCAGTCCCAGAACGGCAGCATTACCAGCGAGGACAGGCTGAAAGGTGACGATGAAGAATGAATTTGTAAAAAAAACAAAACATTCATGCATTGAGTTGAACAAGTCACAAGAGAACGGTCACTGTGTGATGGCATTTCTGTAATTGGTGAATGTGGGGGATGATGGAGGTCACACAGTCAGATGGTTCTCTGAATGCACTACAGTTTGTGTGTGAATAGAGTGAGTGACTCAGACACACAGAGGCCTGATTGTGTTTGTGTCCAGTCATTTAAAGAAGAATGTTTTACATAAAAAGCACCATTAAATATGATGTTCTGGACACGGTCACTAAATTAGTTAAAACGGTATTGGACTGTAAAACAAAAGGCTGCTCAAAGTGACTGAAGACGCTCTGTTGACATCTAATTACTGAACAACAGTCTTTTACTTGTTGTTTAAAACTGATCGTTATCTGCCTTTTTATCTGCCTTCATCCCCCTGTTGTTCTGCAGACCCTTCGTCTCCCACTGGCAGCCTGGGAGCTCCATGGTTGCATGTGTCCAAACCGGTGGAGCACGTTGTGGCTCCCCTTCCCGAGGGCCTCCCTGTCCCCTCTATAACCTTAACTGAGTCCGCCTCGCCCTCCTCCCCGCAGCCTGAAACAGGAGAGTCTTGTGACGGGGACTACGACGATGGTCCGGAATACCTGGCCATCGGTAACCTGGGCCAGCGCGCCCGTCAGGACTCCCAAAGCTCCGCCAACAGCAGCGAGCGAGGGGAGACACCAAACCATTCCAATAATCAAAAACTCCAGAGCCTGATGAGCGCCGTTCCCCGACGCTCGTCTTTTTCGGAGGTCCAGAGGGGACCGGCGGCTCGTGCCCGAGGACACACTCGCTCGTTTTCTGACACAGGAGTCAATCAGAAGATCAGAAATGGTGAGTGTTTAAAACAAAAAAAATAAAACAGCACTTGCTCTGTGTCTGGATAAACCAACAGTCAAATGTATGATTTTTTTTAACTACGTTTGTATTTTGTGTCCTTATAAACTGTGACGAGGACTCAGCAGACACAGCAGCTGTCTGACATGAACACTCCTCTCTCTGCTCTCCGTTTCCTCTTCTACAATCTTAAGATAACCGTTCTCTCTCTCTCTCTCTGCTCTGTTTTTCTTCTACACTCTCCGTGCTAAGGAGTGGGCCACCGAAAAATCACCATAATAATAGAAGACCCAGTAGCAGGTTGGCGGTGCAGTTTAACTGTACTCCATCACTCAACTCCCCTGAACCCCCCCTCCCCATTTAATTCATACCTGCATGGTGATAAGCTCCACCCCCTTTTCCATTTTCACTCCACCATTTTTCTAAATGTCCTGATTGCGATTTGACCAAAACGAGACTTCTCCTGATGACGGTTTCATTTATTTCTGTTGATTCAATCATTTTGTCATGTTTCATGAGTATGAAGTATGTTGCTACTAGTACTCATGTAGTCATTGTATTTCAAAGTTATAAAAATATATGCATCTGATATATTTAATTCATATACAGGATGCAGTTTTTTTTACTTCAGACTTGATGCATGAAGAACTTCCATCTCTACATGTGTTTGTCATCAGGTCACACAGTTACAGCAGTGAGTCACTGTCACTGAAGTGAACAACTGCACAGAGACGCGTGTTAACACTGTCTGTGTTTGTGTTGTAGAGACGTCGGGAGACAACGGCTGCGTGAAGGACTACAGTCCCTTCTCCAATCAGTGCAATGACTCCAGTTCTCCCAGCTCACTGTACATGGAGTCCTGTGAGTTCTTCAGCTACAGTTTCAATAACAACTGGAATTAAATTCAAAAAGTTGAAGTTGTCATTGGAGCTCGAAAGAAAGTACACCACAGATTTGAGTAGGGAAGGAAATATAGAAGGAAAATGTGTGTTTGAAAAGAGTTGTCATTTAGTTAGTGTTAGACCTGAGGTCAAAGGTGGACCAAGAACACAAGTTCTAAGTCTAGTACTTGTTAATTGATTGTGTTTTTTGTAGATTATTGCTCCGTACCTTAGTTAAAGATCCACCTTTTCAGTATTTTTCTTGTCAGCAAAAAAAAAAAAAAAAAAAATCCTGCCAGTGAATCAAACTTGAAAGTCTTGTTTGTCTTTTGTGTTTCAGATGGATCTCAGTGCAGCCGTGTGTCAGACGGGTTGTTCAGGAAGCCGTCAGAGGGTCAGAGCCTCATCAGCTACTTGTCGGAGCAGGACTTTGGCAGCTGCGCTGACCTGGAAAAGGTTTGACATGACCACTGTATGAATATGAATCAAAACTGGTTTAGCTTCACTGTGACTCATTTCTTTATTTATTTACTTTGCGGTTTGCTCTGCAGGAGAACGCTCATTTTAGTATTTCCGAGTCCCTCATTGCAGCCATCGAACTGATGAAGTACAACCTACGGTGTCAGGAGGAAGAGGGTGAGGAGGAGGGAGACAGTGACTCAGAGATCCAGCAGCTCAAGCAAAAGATCCGTCTGCGTCGTCAGCAGATCCGCAGAAGCCGGCTGCCGCCGTCCACCAGCTCTCACCACCGTGAGTCACTGATTAGTGCCATTTTAAACATTTGTAAATAATTTATTTGTACTTTTTTTTTTACTGTTATTTTTCTTCCTCTCCTCTCTCCTGCAGTGTTTCACTCCACCGACAGCGGGGGCTCCAGGAGGAGCTCTCAGGACTCCTATCAGGGCCTGTCTGACTCTGGCTCAGCGGAGGAGGTGGAGGAGTGTGAACTAAAAGGTAGAGCGGGAGAAAGAAGGATGGAGCCGGGGGAAAACTAAAGACAGAAGTAAAACAAAAATCCTCACACAGATTTAATGAGTTAATGAGACTGAAGAGATCGGTCGCAAAGTCACAAACCTGCAGGGCTGTTTTATATATATATATATGTCTATATATATAGATATATGTATATTTATATACAGATGATCATGGGGGATTCTGTGTGAAGGAGTTCATGTTCCATCATCACAATCCTCACCATGACATTTGACCCTGAACCTGAAAACACTGCAAAGTTCTCAGTTAAATCAAAACCTGTTTTTTATTCATCCTTTTTATTTGTGAATTAGATTATAATAACAAGTTGAAATGAAATACCATTTAAAACCACAACTCTTATAAGATGCAAAAAATACTGTGATAATTCAATTGTTGAATTTTCCATTGGCACAAAATTAATTAATACATTTGTCAACACTTCTTTCTCCATATGATAAGTAAAAATCACTTTCTCTACGGCTGTAAATTATGAATCTTTACCGGCAGCGGTTGGGGATTTTAATGTCAGTTGATTTGTGATTAACATTAACCAAAGCAGACTAACAAACAGTAATAACGCAAATGAGATGTGATTCTTTTTAATTAAGTAAAACGGATGTTAATTAGTTGTTTTCCCTCTCTGTGCATGATTGTGTGTTTTTGTTGTGTTCCCGTGTCAAATATCTTCCCAGTACTGTAACACTACTGAGTGTTTGTCTGAGTGCGATGTGTCATGTATTTACTGCAGTAACACAGTGTGTGGACTCCCATCATGGAGCGTTCATACGTCTGTGTCTGTGCCCATGGTTGTGCTGAGTGTTAGTTTCTGTTTCTCAGATGGCTGTGAGGGTCAGTCGCTGCTGGCGGTGTCTCAGAACGGCCTCTCCCTGTCACTCGCCTCACTCTTCTCAGGTACCTGCAGGACGAGTGGGCGAGGCTCCACAGATGAAATGACAACTGGCACGAAGCAGACGGCTCGTCGCCAAACTGAAAATATTTGCTTTTTTATTTCCTCCTTGGGTGTCATGTTATGTTGTTATGTTGCCACTTTATAAAAAATGTTCTTCCTCGTTTTAAGGTTCATATAAAGTATAAACAGATTAACCCAAACAGACGCTAACTGCGATGTTTTGCTACTTATCAGTAGCTTTATGATCTGGAATTATAATTCAAGCCCTCACAACTGAAGTTCCTCAGTGGTGTTTGTTTGTTTTTTTATTCTCTATCACGGTGTGGTGGGAAAGTTTTCAGTTTGGTCTCGAGCCAGATGCTTCCTCCTGGCTGTTTGTGTTTTGTTGGTGCTTGTCATCCTGCTCATCCAGGGTTCAGGGCGGTGCTGGAGTTCAGTCAGCTTCTACATTCTGAAAAAATTAAGTGTAGTGAGAAACGTACACGTGATGCCAATAACAACAGCATTCATCCATCCACCCTCTCTCCGCCCTCTTTCCTTCCCTCCGTAGCTCCTCTAAAAACATTGGACTTCAGTGAGAGTGAGGTGTGATTGCTGTCACTTTGTTGTCGCGTCATTGTCTGTTTTTTTGACTGTTAGATTGTTTTGATTTTATTTGTTAATTTGTTAAAAAGTTATATAAAAATTAACCAGTTATTGATCATTAATACTTAGCTGTAATAATGAATCAAATCCCTCTCCCAGCCTGTGCTGTAATTACACCTCACTTTTCTCTATTTATATTTATCAAATTCAATCACTTCTTTCCAGCCTCCTGTCTGTTTAAGAGAGTTTCAGATTATTAATCCAGATTATTATAAAACTGATTCTAACAGTGATTCAATATTAAGGTAAACCTGAAATATAAATTAAATTTATTATATTTTTTTCACCCATAGAATCATTAGATGACACAGATTTAAATCTGTTTCTTCTGCTTCTGCTGCTGGAAAACTGTGCTAAATTTACCTCTACTGCATATTCTCTGCTCTGACTAATCGCTGACTCTTGGCTTTCCTTCATGGCTCCAGCAAAAAATATTCTTCAACTAATCAGAATTAATGGGTCATATTTAGAGTCAGTCTTGTTTTTATAAATTAACTTCTGCTTTTTTTAATCCTCTTGACATTAAAATAACTGCAGAATTAACAGCCTTTTTTTTTTACTCTCTCAGATGCAGACATAAAGCGCAGCACGAGTTCAGTCGGCCGGTCCCTCCTCAGCTCAGAGTCCATGTAAGTGACACAGAGTCAGTCGGTCGGCTACAAATAATGACAAACATCGTCAGCAAGATGTACAAATTATTCATCCTTCCTCTCGCCGGCAGCTCTCCATCCTTCCTTCAGTCCAACTCTGCTGAGTCAGTAGCCATGGGTTTGCTGCGGCAGTTTGATAGCATGCAGCTTCCTGCTGCCTCGGAGCTGGACTGGCTGGTTCCAGAACAAGACGCTCCTCAGAAGGTAGAGCAGAACGTCTCCTTCATAACGTCACATTCTTAGCAGACGTCACACCGATTTGTGAACTCACACTTCTTTTTTTTTTGTCATTATTAAAGCTGCTGCCCATCCCTGACTCTCTGCCAATATCACCGGATGACGGTGAACACGCAGACATCTACAAGTTAAGGATTCGGGTTCGAGGAAACCTGGAGTGGGCGCCTCCGCGACCGCAGATCATCTTCAACATTCACCCTGCTCCAAAGTCAGTTCACATCTGATTATACTATTATATTATACTGATAATTTGCAATCTGACTCAAAATATCATATCGGAGATCATATCATGGTCTAAAATAAAAGTGTTCTTTTTTTGCCAGGAGGAAACCTGTTGTGGCCAAACAGAACTACCGCTGTGCTGGCTGTGGCACCCGCATTGACCCTGGTATGACCAGAGTCATAACGACACCATCTTTTAAATTTAAATGGACTTTTTGGTTCAGAAAAGTTAAAAAATTGTTTGAATGTAGATTTGTTTTCATTCAAACAACAATGAAGACAGACGTGCTAAAAAAATAGGAAGCAGTGGGTTAGAGAAGAACAAACTCCTTGGAAAATATTTGTTCTCTGCCAAAAGTTCTTGTTCCTCAGCTCGACCCTGACCGTGTCTCTCTTCCATCTTTCCACCTCAGACTACATAAAGCGCCTCCGCTACTGCGAGTACCTCGGCCGGTACTTCTGCCAGTGCTGCCATGAAAACGCGCAGGCGGTGGTTCCCGGTCGCGTGCTGAGGAAGTGGGACTTCAGCAAATACTATGTCAGCAACTTTGCCCGCGATCTGCTGAGCAAGATTGCTGGAGACCCGCTGTTCAATCCCAACGACATCAACAGCGGCCTCTACAAGAAGGTCAAATCTCTGGAGGCCGTGCGGGTGAGAACACAGACACAACAAGGAGAAAATACTGGACAGATACACGGCGTCAACCTTTCTCTGCACTGTTTTTAATGACACCACTTAAGACCAAGTTGATTACGAGGGGTGATTACTTCGAAGTTTATGTTAGACAGACATCAGCAAAAACTTCTAGACCAGGGTTCTCAAACTCTTAACCCATGGACCACTTCAAGTTAGTAATTGTAAATTTTAATTTGTATTTAAGGCTGAAATATGTGGAAAAACCTTAATCACAAATTCATGTATTCACAGAGAACAGTTTTAATCATGGGTTGAAGCAGTTTGTTTTCACTGTGCGAGAGAGAAACCTGATCCTTGTTCACCTCAGTCATCTGGCAGCAGCCCTGAATAGTCATCACCTGCACAGCAATTATGTTGTTAACTGAAGTTCAAACGTCCGCCACTCGTCCTGTTCTCCCTGTTGTTTGTTCTCTAGCCTTAAATCTCTTTACCTGCAACATTTGTTTGTTCCAGGTTTTGAGGGTGAAACTGTTTCACATGAAGAATCTTTTCAAGACCTGTCGTTTAGCTAAAGAGTAAGACTTTTGTTTTTAAATTTATATTATTTTGTTTCAGGTTTGTACGTCATGTTTCAAGTCACATAATATGTGTGTGTGTGTGTGTGTGTTCCTCAGGGTTCTGGACCAGTTTGATACTCTACCAGGTCACCTGACTGAGGATTTGCACCTTTTCTCCCTAAACGACCTCACAGCTGTCCGTAACAATGAGCTGGCTCCCCGGATGAGAGACCTGTTAAAACAGGGCTCTATTCACGTGGACACCTGCGTGGTAAGATGAACATCCATCAGTTATATCTCAGTGAATTTCAGACTAATGTGAACACTCTGTCCTGTCACACCTTCCCACTCTAATGTGTTCTTTTAACATTTTCTTGAATCATGTCCCTCCCCAGCTGTGCCAGGCGAAGGGTTTCGTGTGCGAGTTCTGCAACAACGACAAAGACATCATCTTCCCCTTCCAGCTGAACAAGTGCCAGCGCTGTGAAGGTGAGCCCTCTCCGCTGGGGTCAGGTCTGCACAACCTGAAAGCCCCCTCCACTCGACCGTTCATTCCACTGACCTGGAAAGAGGGGAAGATCTCCAACCCTCGTAGGTTGGCAAAAGCCCTCTCTGAAGACAGGAGAGAGGGGGGGGGAGGGAGGGGAGGAGGATTTAGATGTACCGCCGTATGAAGGTGAGATAGGCAGAGAACAGCAGTCAAAGGAAACGGGAGAGGAGAAGAAGGAAGGAGTAGGAATATTTCCGACTTTCCCGTCTGTTGAACTCGTCAAAGTTTTCTCCAGAGGTAAAGATAATGAAGAGGAGCAGGAGGTGTCAGGAGAGATGGAGTCAGAGCAGGAGGGAGGAGAGGAGGGAAAGGAAAATGAGAGAGTGAATAAAAATGGTAGAGCGACAGGTAAGCCCAGTGTGAGGAGAGGAAGTAATGCAAGGAGAGAAAGTGTCAACCTGCTCAGGGTTCTGCAGCTAGAGAGACTGAAAGTGAGCATGTTGATGGGAGACAGGAGCAGCGACAGTGAAACAGGAAGCAGTTTGGAGGCTCTGGATGAAGTGGGACAGAAGAACACGAGGGAACAGAAAAAGGTTTTAGGTTTGTTGAGCCGACCCAAGAACTTCTTGAAAAATGTGGTTAAGTGGGAAGAGAAAACTGAAGTGAAAGTAGAAGAGGCTGAAAAAACAACACCGGAGCAGCAGTCAGAAACTGAGAAGGCGGAGGAGACGGAAGAGGGTGACGAGAATCAAAGTGAAGGCGGATCTGAGGCAGCTGAGGCGGAGCAGTCTGAATCTGCCACAGACAAAGAAGGGTTTTCGGTTTCCAAACTGCTGAAACCCCATCAGCTGTCGTCCATCTTCTCCAGGGGGAAACTAAAAGGGGGGGACGAGGGGGGAGATAAGACTGAGGGAAACAGAGATGGAACTGTGGAGCGCGGCGTCCATGAGGCGTCGGCCTTCGTCACCAGGACAAACTGGAGAGGTCGTAAAACTCGCAAAGCCGTGAGAAAAAGTCGAGGCAGGAAAACGAGAGAAGGATCAACGGAGAACTCGGAGGGCGGAGAGGGGAGTGATTCAGATGATGGCTCTGAGGGAGAGGAGAGGAAAGAGGTCAGGGTGTCAAGAGAGTGAGACACGATATCCAGAGAGTAGCGAGGCAAATGTTCAAATCCTGACCAACGGCTGCAGGATCGTAGAGTTTCTTTGGTCGCATCAGTACTTTCAACACGTTCATGGAAAATCATTTAGTTCAGGTTTACAGACGTTTATTGACGCGCACATTAGGTCACCTGCTCTTGTTTCTGCTCTGCTAGATACAAAGATGTACATTTTTGAAGCCGGCTGTTTTTAAAACAGCTTTGAATTACATTTTTCTTTTGTTTTTTTTGTTTCATATTTACATTTTGTCCATTTTATTTATTTAATGATGTCATTTCCCCATGGTTTCAAAATGTGGGAATCCATTCAAGTTGATAATCTCTCAAAGGAAAATCATGTGAGAAGCAGGGCCCGTGTGGTGGGAAAGCGGGTTAGTGCTTTTGCCTTACAGCAAGAAGGTCACCAGTTCCATTCCCGACATATACTCTACTACTGGTCTGGTCTTTTTGTGTGGAGTTTGCATGATCCATTTGCCTCTGTGTGGGTGGCTGTTCATAGTGAGTGTGAATGTTTGGTTGTCTCTGCATGTGGACCTGTGAGAGACGCCTTTAATCTCTGGGGTGCAGCCCAGCTTGTTGACCTGTGGTACAGCTGGGTCACCGCTGCTCCAAGTCTCCTTTCTGATTTCTAGACAAGACATGGATGATATAAAGTATGCACATATTACCACATTTGAGTGTGTTCATAGAGTAAATCAGAAAAGATAAGTATATATTATATTTTTATATATTAATCTACTGTAATATTGCCTTAACATGTACAGTATCTCACACACAGTGGTTTCAGTGTTTTGCTCCTGGCGTTGGTGTCAAACTCCTACAGCTTTTATCCAGACTCATCAGGAGGCAAAACACCACGCCTGGTTTATCAGACCTGTTTCTAATCCTCAGATTAAATGTTCTGTTTCTCACTCCCTATTTTACTTCACTTCACCTTTTCTTTCTGTCACACATCTCGTGTGTCTTTGCCGCTTGCATTCATGGCAGTCTACCTGCGCCCGTGTCGTCGTCGTCCTGTTTTGTTGTTGCTGTTGTTGTTTTTCCGGTGTTGGTTAGAAGACGGTGAAGGGAACAGGTTTATCGTTTCTTTGGTTCTGGACTTCCTTCAGCTCAGGGTCTTGAGGTGTGTGTTGGTGTGTGTGTCAGCACTGCTTCGTGTTTTAATCTCTGGCAGCTTTTTGAACCTAGGGCCTTTTACTGATGATGAGGATTTATTTTGTTTTAAATGTCATCACGGCGTTTGTGTCTTGAAGGTTTACACGTCGCTAAGTTTTGGTCTCACGTTTCAGTTCAGTTAGAAGTAGATTTCACGTACTTTTATCACTCTGATCAGTCCAGAGATGGTGACTCTGGTCTCAAGCTGCTTCGTGTTTATATGTTTTAAACACTATTATTTAACTTTTTTTTTATGTCTACTTTTATGTTGTGCAACGTGACCTTCATGTGCCACAATGAATGTGTAATTTATGGCCTTTTTAAAACTCCTTTGGAATGTGAAGAACATGAAATAAAAACTACAT